ACCCCCCGAGAGCAGCTCTTTGTGCTGAAGTTGCAAGTAAAGACAAGTTTGGTTAATGTCATAGTTGATCCGAGCAGCGAGAAGAATTTGATATTCGAAGCCTTGGTTCAGAAGCTGGGTTTGAAGATGGTCAAGCATCCGAAGTCCTATCTATTGGGATGGATTCAGAAGGAGGAGAGACTGAGTGTATTTGATCAATATACTGTCAGATTTCCGCTCCACGAGTGGTATATTGACGAGATCACGTATGATATTGTTCCATTGGATGTTTGTCAGATTATACTGGGCAATCCGTACTTATGGGATAGATATGCAATCTACGAGAGGTAGGTTCAGAAGTATACATTCACCAAAGACGGTGAAAAGTTCATATTCCGTTCGGCATCTCTTCCGAGAGAGACAAGCTTGGGGACGACGACGCGAGCGAAGAGGCTAGTGAATGCAAGCAAGAAGTTTGTCTCGCTGTGCATTAGACTTCCAGAAAATCCATCGAAAGAGGATTGCATGTTGGAGCGGAAGACGACTACGACAAAGCAAGGAGCGAAGGAATCGTTTCCAGTTGTACGTGGCTATCAAGTTTCTAGCAAGGCCAGGTGGTGCAGAAAAGATAGAGGAGCTCGGGAGTTTCCTCGGCTGAAGTTCTAACTTTAACGGGACTTCAAGTTCCTAAAGGGGGGACCCATGATATGGGTGTATCTTCTCTTCGGAACTTAGCGATCCTCATAGGAGCTTGAGGATAGATGATTCTCATGGTAGCTTGAGAATATATGTGTAAAATAGCACAGTGGAACGCAGGTTGAAGCGTGGAACGAGACGACGAATCGAAGAATCGAAGCACCCAGTTTTTAGCCCGTGAGTCGACTCATAACAGTCATGAGTCGACTCATCAGGTTTAGTCGACTCATGCCTGTCATAGGTTAACTCATGAAACTCAGTCGTTTGTCACCAGTCTCTGACGAGTCGATTCATCTCAGTCATGAGTCGACTCATTGCTGGTTTTGTGTTTTGTTCAGTTTCGGACGAGTCGACTCATCTCAGTCGTGAGTCGACTCATCGAAAGTTTCCTGGTTCGTTTGGGTTTCTGTTTGCACGAATTCCTGTTGGGTTTGGGCTTGGTTATTTACCACTTTTTTATCCACGTTGTTACACCTATAAAAGGGATTGTTTAGGGTTTCTAATCGATCAGATGTAATCAATGTGAGATTCTAATCAAGAGAGATTAGGGTTTAGAGAGAATTGAGACATGTTCTCGATTCTAGTAAGATTGTGAGAGAGGAATTGTAATCTTTTCAACTCATAATCTAGAGAGGGTATTTTCCTTCGCCACATACTGAATTGTTCTTGTGTTTCTGTCATCCTCTTCTCAACTCACCTTTGATAATTCTGCGATCAAAGGTGCTCGCATGGCGACTTGTATCACAGAAACAATCCACTATAACCTCCAAATTACAATCTTTTACAGAACAAAGACTGTCAAACTCTCTCTCTCTCTCTCTCACGATACCTTTAAACTCGGTTACACCCCCTATTAAACCCTTATTACAAGAAGATTGCCTCCCTTTTTCTCTCTACTCTAAAAGCCTAAAATAGGATGTCTTATTTAAAGACACATTTGACTTACCCGTCAAGTTAACTTGGGCTCTAAGAAAACTGTTAGGACTGGGCCTGGTCTTCAAACCCACATCTGACTTGAAGTTTGAGTCAGTGCCCAACACAATTGATTAATTTTTGTCTAGAAAACTAATCATTAATATTTATTTTATTATATTTTTAACGTTGTAGTAAAATTGAAATAAATTAAGTAATAATTAACTTTTTAATCAAATGATTTTCATATACTTTCGGAGAGACAAAGGTAATTAAGTATTATATCCCTGCTATAAAGTGAGTATGTAGGGCTCCTGTAATCTATAAAATATGGGTCATCTTTCCTGTCATTTCATAGTTTAATTATTATAAATAAATCCTTTTAGGTTATTTTATGCGGTACGGGAATATTACTCCTAGAAACAAACAATCAAGAACTATTACAGCTTAAGAACTCTCCAAAGTAGATAATGCTGAAGGAGTGCATTTCTTATTAGAACCCCGCACCGTGTCGGGTTCTGATAGCCAAACAGGAGAAAATGCATTTACGAAAGTGTCCCTGCATTTTTGTAAATGAGCAGCTCAGAACGTTCTACACGGTGCTAGGCGTTCTGAGAGGATATGTAGACATGATAAACGTAGTGTCACAATGCTTTAATTTTTGGAGTTATGACCAGAATTGATGATTATAATTTTATATTCAAACATATTGTTATAGATTGGACACATTTTCATAGATTGATATCTAGAGTCATGCAATGACATAAAATTTTTTAAATCACTTAAATTTGTAGCTAAGGGGAATATCAAAATTTTTGCCATTACACCCATATTCTAAAGTTATGGTAAGGATAATTATATTAAAAGTCCTTATTACAGCACCAAAATAACGAAATTAGGCTGAGAGTTGAGCATTATAATTTTATTCTTGAACATGCCTTTGATTAACCGTCCTTTTGGGGTTAAAATAATCCACCTAAAGTTTTACCCTATTTAGCTTTAAACTCTCCCACTTCATAATAATATTTTAAATAATAAATCTAAAGTTTTATCCTAATTTGTTTTTAAAACCCACCCACTTCAAATTCACTCTTGGTCCATAAAAGTATATGAATTACTTTTAAACTCGTCATGTATTTCAGCAATTTGGTACATTGTAACTCACTATGTTCTATAAATTGTTATATTTTTTTCTAAATGGTTATGCATAAGATGTTGTGAAAATATGCCTAAACCATTATTATTTTATTACATTAATGATGTGGCATTGTAAACTATATATAAGTTTTCTGTCTGTAAACCCTAAGTTTTGCCTTCATGTGTTTTCAAACTCACTCAATAATGGTGTTTACCTGTAACTCAACGTTTTACCGCCATTTACTTTTAAACCTACTCACTTCCAAAGTCACTCTTAGGCTGAAAAAACCAATTTTTTATTCACTCTTTCGTATTAGTAGTTCAGGTTGGTGTAATCTATAATTTTTTATGTCACTTGCTTATCTTTTGGTTTAAATGGTTAACTATATGGCCTATTTTTAAATCAATTTTTTAAAGTATTATTTTTTTTGACATTTTACACTCTAATGTTGTGATATCACACGGGTCAATTTAACACGTTGACTTCTAAATCAAATGGAATAAGAAAAGACTAGCAAGTTGAACTTAAGATCATAATATGAAAATTTTCAGATTCGTAACACTCAAGTTTAATGACTTTGTTAAAGTAAATACTAAGCCATTATGTTAAAATAGAAAGAACAAATGACTATTGAAATGTTAGCTAATTTTACTAAGTAAATTATCAAAAGATATAATTGTTGTGCGCAGCGGAAATTTCGGCAGCACCTCCGGTGCGCAAGGTGCACAACAAGAGATTAGATCACAATGAAATTCTCGTTTCTCAAAGGAAACAAGAACCAAAAGCCAGATATCTCATCAAAGTGAGATATCAGCTCTTCCTCTCGTCAGCTCTAGGACTGCGCGTCGAGGGTCCTCTCGTTAGCTCTAGGACTGCGCGTCGAGGGATCCTACAAGCTATTACAAATCACGGCAAGAACACAAAATTTTACGTGGTTCGGCAAACTGCCTACGTCCACGGGGCAAGGAGGGGGAGATCTACTATTAGAGGGAGAGATACAACTGGGGTTTACAATCACACAACCTAAACCCTCTCACAAATTCTCTAATCCCTCATACAAATATCTCTCTCAAAAGGGATGCACAAAACCCTAACAAAAGCCTTCTGCCAGCGCCACCAAAAAAAAGAGAACAGCCGACTTCAAATGCCGCCTCTGCACACCCAACGAAGAGACAGCCGCTGCTCCTTCTTTTCTCCTGCTGTAGCCGCCAATGTAAACCCCAAACTTGCGCACCTCCTTCGCGAAACCCTAGGCAAGGGTTTATATATAATTCCGCCTCTGCTTGTTTTTGTTTCATGGGCCGCACCGCATCCTCACAAAACTTTAACCAGCGGGTCATTGAAAGAATCTTCACATGGGTGGCTGTCTCACGCGCTCACGTTCACAACCCCGTGGCCCCCACTCACAATAATAATAATAATTAATTACATTATATCAATTAGACCAAAGCATGTGAAGTTCATTAATCCATCTATTAACCATTCGGGCATTTCTACAGGGACACCAAATAGGGGATCAAAGAGGAGGACAACATTGTATCATCCAACCGGATGAGGACAGCCTACTCCCCACTATTTGGGGTCCCCATGGCATTAATCTAACCATTCGTTTACTTAAATGAGAGTTCAAATAAAGGATGGGATCAAGCGGAATCGAGCGGAAAACACATAAAGCTACAACTTTTAGCTACGAGCCAAACCTCCACTTCCACCGTCTACGTCATTTCATTTATTAAAGAACAAAAACAAAAGCAAACCCAGAGCTTAAACTTATGGATAATTATCAGATAAAACCACTTTAAATTCTAGATAAGTACGAAAATACCACAACTTGTCTCCTATTACTGTGAAACTGTGATTGGACCCCAATCAGTCGGAAATTAAATAAGTATTTATTCCTTTGTAGCTTTCATTAGCTCATTAATATCAAGTTTTCTCGCCGATGTCACGTCCAGTAAATTATTTAAAGCACCATATATATTCAGACACAAGTGGACCGAAGGGCACATGGGACCCCACTACTACGTGTCATAGATATGGGTCAAGAAACTGGGTGGTATTAATTGTTCTATAGGCTTCCAAGATCTGGTGCGATGCCGCGTCAACAAGACGCGGCGCCTTGCCAAAGCGTGGCCCACAAAAGCCCCAATTTTCAATTTTGCCTCCTAAGGCCCGTTTGGTTCGCTTACTTGAGTCGCGGAAACTCCTCACAATAACGTCACCTAGACAAAACCCGTTTTAGGATTTTCTTTTCTATGCTTTGGTTCGCTTCTTTCCCTTGTCCCCCAACCGCGGAAATCCTCTCCACCTCAGCTCTTCGTCTTTCCCCCAATTTCCTTCGAAAACGAGAGAAAATCGTCGAAAATCTGACAATATTGTCAGATCTGCGGTTTAATTGGCGAAAACTCGTTGAGGGCTAGGGTTACCACCGCTTTCCCTCGTTTTTTTACTCTTCGCACCATGATTGCTCTCAGATGCTTGCGGGAGTTTTATAATGTTGATTTCGTACTTGATTTTTATATTTATCAAGCCTCGGTTCCTCAAAATCTTTCTTTTGCTCGATCTTTGCGAAAAAGGCAACGCCTTTATTGGGAAATTTGGGTATTTTTGCTGAGTTTTTGGCTGGATCTTGCTATAGAGGCAATCTAAGGTATGATTTCTGCTCATTTTAGAAATATTGTGAGGAAATTTTCGTATGTTTTAGAAATATTGTGATGAAATTAGTTGAAATTGTCTGAAAATTTCGTATGTTTTAAAATATTGTTGGATCTTGCTGGATGTTGCATTTTCTATAATTAGTTGAAATTATATGCAATTATCTAAAAATTATTATCTGAATTTAGACGGTAATAAATAAAAAATTTCATGATAATGATCAAAAATATCTGAAATGTTCATTTTAGAAAATATTGTGATGAAATTTTGCATGTTCTTATTTTCTTCTATGTCCCAAGTGGAACTTTCGTTTAATTTAAGAACAATTCTATTTAGCTAGGTTTTTTTTACATTACTGATCCAGTGATAAAGTTATATGCTTAAAAGGAATAAAACATTCATGGCATAAAAAATTATGTTGATATGTTTGCTGCCACCATTTGATTTTAAGCGTATGATCATAAATTTGCTGTCACCATTTGCTTTTACATAAAACTTGTGACTACAAGAACTTTATAAGTCACCATATACATGACAACAGATCAAAATTTATGCGATGCAAGCAACCTACAATGTGCACACATTATATTGGATGGCTATTGTTGTGGGTTATTAAGGTATTCGGTTGTCATACCACGAGTTTACATTGGTGACTTTTTTACTTTTAGGCTAGATGATTGTTAAATTTTCTGAGATTAGCAACCTGCAATATCTATTGACATTGCACTGGATGGCTAACAATGATAATATTGACCAAGTTCTGAACCCTAAGCCATAATTTCAGTATATATATATATATGGTTGGTTTATTTTATGTGATGACAAAAAATATTTCAGTTTGATTTTTAAGTGTCAGTTTAGTGTTTGACTGAGGTAATATACTCCATTTTCATTCATTCCATCTAAATGTATATTTGAGGTAATATACTCCATTTTCATTCATAGTCTGTATAATCCATTTTTTATGTTTGACTATGCGAAATTTCCAAATTTGGGTAGTGTTACCTCCTATATGATGTGCTTATTGTCTCTAGTCTAGGATGGTTTCTTGTTATGGAGAGTGGAGACACATTTATCATCATACCAACCTTTGTGAAAGTTTTATCGGTGTTCGCTTTTCCCTCCAGTTGTTGTGCTTGAAAGTCAATTGATTATTACTGAAAGAGAAAGGAGAAGTGAAATATTTCTCCCAAGCAAATTTTTTGGAACTCGTCATATCCCCTTATTCACTCATAAGCTAAAAGCACCAGGCGACTTCAAATTCTTCTGAATTATTGGTCTGCATGTTATTCCATAATGAGATTTGCTCTAATTACATACCAGTACGTGTATAACGTAGACCATCTTGGGTATGACTATTTACGATGAAATAAGTTATTATTTTTTTTGAACTGAAAAACAGGGTGAGATATCTTATTCATAAAGACTTATATATAAGGATACTAAGATAAAAAAGTCTATACAAAACCAACAATTGAGCCGTGAGGAAAGATCAAAGAAAAGAAGAAGCTGGTAAGGAGCGGACCTAGTCGTCACCTACCGAGCTAACTCTACTAAGATCCTTCACTCAAGGCCAAAAGAAAAACACATGAGCTAATATAGAGTCTGATACACAGAAACACAAATACTGAATTCTTACAGCAAAAAGACAAACAACAAGTTTCCAAGAAAACAAGGCAGGCGCAGGAAGAGGCATACTTGGAGAGAAATGCTGGCTAAGCTAACTGGCATCGGAGAAGTTGTTGTTGGAAAAAATCAAATAAACTTAAATTAGCATGTAAATTAAATCCGAATAAAAATAAATAATTAAATCTGGCCTGATTGGGAGCAGTCGTGTAATCACTTCCCTAGAAGATTGAGGACTCGCCTATCGCCCTGACGCAGATGATCCCCTCTCCCCTAGCGGTAAAAACCCCCGGAATCGGCTGGCCTCTGTACTCGGGCGAGAGTACAGAGCTTCTGCTCAGATGAAGAAAGTTGCCCAAAAATAAAACCAAATTTTGTAACGTTCCCCATAATTATATAGCCGTTACACATATTTTTAATTGCTAATTAAAACATATTTTTATTACAAAAATTGATTACTATTCATGAAGGCAAAATTGTCTTTTCTTAACAAAATATCTAACAGTCCCCCTCAAAAGGCAATATTGACTGAAAACTCAAAACCGATAAATAAATCAAGAAATCATAAAACAAATATAGGTTGGGCAACATTTCGTATCGTGAATTCGGGAGAGGTAGCTTCCGGTTTTGAACCTTTCCTTAGTGAGTTTATTGTCACCTAAGGGACATAATGAACTAGGCCTTGAATTAGGCCCCTCGAATCAGGTATTGATAAAAACACACACAATACGTCTTCATCTATTGAGCAAAGCAGGTTGAGCGTTAAAGGTCATGCTCACAAAAAACCGACTCATGAAAGTTTCTAGGGGTCAGCCCTGCCCAACCGCGGCCATCACGGTTTCTCTCACGTAGGTAAGCCCTCAAATGGTACTACAGCTGTTTATTTAATACCCCCCATAATACACACGTTGAACTTATTAAGAGTAAAACTCAGCCTAGCTAACCATATCATAAGAGCATCGTCATCATAGAGAAGGGGTAGTAACACAAGCTATATAGTGATATATGAATATATCTGGGTCGATGCTCCACATGAGTGTCACTAGTCCAGCTTGTTTCTATCACATTGAACCAATATTGGGACTAAATCTCCAAATAAGGGTTGGGTTACCACTGTCAGTGACCTCTTTTATGGGCTTAACCTTATCTCCCTCGATGAATCCAGAACCACACTCCTGGATAGTCCCTTAGTCAAAAGGTCAATAAGATTCTTTTTAGACTTTACAAAGTCTAGAATCATAACTTTGCCTAGTAGGCGTTGTATATATTTATCAAGTTATTTTATAATTAGTCCTTTATTTGATATTAGGTCCCCTTCTTGTTTAAGCCATTTTTCAAATCAATCTTTCCAGGAAAGAGTACAGGTAGCAAGAGGAGGGATTGATTAGAAACAACTTATAAGGATAAAGGGACCTAATAGCAGTTTTAATTATTTGATGGACTAATTTCAATATAACTTTAATGATTTTGAACTTTTATTCATCATATAGATTGAAGATATAAGATATACCTCTTGATTTGATTTTTTTAGGACATTGATTCATCACATCTCCTGTAACTAGGCATATTAGTTGACAGAGCATATTTATATCAACTCTAATCATTTCCTGAAATCTCAAGAGAAAACATTACATGTAGTCAAAAGAAGAGCTATAAAATTGTTTCTTTCTATTCACTATTAAAATGATAGGACATCAAAACATGTTAGCATAAAAGGTCATGGTCTATGATCATAAAAAATCATAGTCTATGTCTGAATATGTAACTGCATAGAGTTTGTGCAGATTGGAATTCGACCTTAATATCTGAATATTTCAAACTAATATGAAACTAAAATACTGTAGTTATATCTTTACATGCATGCATATGCACATACATGAATGAAATTACTAATAGTTACATGCAAAGCATTCAAGAGAACCTTATAATATGATTTCATATTTCATATGCATAAATTTTAAATTCTCGTATTATAAGAAGTTGCAAATTTGTTGCTTACAAGGGAGACCTTCTATATTTAAATTGGTTACCTACAAAAGAGACCTTCCAAATTTAAATTGGTTGCCTACAAAAGAGGCTTTCTAAATTTAAATTTATGCATATGAATTATTCTCATAATTTCGGTCCTCTTATTCATGCTTGAATATAACAAGTTTCATATGGAAATATAACAATTATCAAATAAAAGGGTTTAAGAATATACAACTTACCATTTGATATGGATGTGCTATTAGTATCAGTCTTGAGTCTTGACTTCTTTAAGTTGGTTTACAATGAGTTTGGTATACATCAATTAATGAATTGAAGTTTTTCAAAATCATATTAGCAATATTGCTCACGTATCTTGGCAGGAAATTAATTAACAATGGATTCACACAATAAACATTTGGTAACGGTTTCCTTCCTTGCGATTGATAAAGTAAAGAGGAATTAACAATAAATAATACATTTGAGCATTTATGTTAGCAATTACATAGACATATTAAGCACAATTTATTATTATGACTGATGTAAGTACAATACTTTAGGGGGGGAAAGTAATTAGATTAGATGAACAATAATAAAATTGCTTAATATACAAAAAAAACTCCCCTGGGTGAATAGTAACCCTTGGTGAACAGTGACTTTTTTATTTTATTTTATTTTATTATAACTTTCGGATTTAAAACAATAGCTATAAATTTATCAATCTTCTAGATTGTTGGCAAAAATCAAATAAACTTAAATTAGCATGTAAATTAAATCCGAATAAAAATAAATAATTAAGTCTGGCCTGATTGGGAGCAGTCGTGTAATCACTATCCTAGAAGATTGAGGACCCGCCTATCGCCCTGGCGCAGATGATCCCCTCTCCCATAGCGGTAAAAACCCCGGAATCGGCTGGCCTCTTTACTCGGACGAGAGTACAAAGCTTCTGCTCAGATGAAGAAAGTTGCCCAAAAATAAAACCAATACTATGAAGAAATAATATGAAAAGGAGAGAAGATACATGTTGTTTTTCTTTATAAAACCGAGCTCAACATACGACTATATATATATATGGTGTTGGAAAGAGACATTACAAAACCCGCAATTAATACGGTAACGTTCGTCATAAATTTTGTAACGTTCCCCATAATTATATAGCTGTTACACATATTTTTAATGACTAATTAAAACATATTTTAATTATAAAAATTAATTACTATTTATGAAGGCAAAATTGTCTTTTCTTAACAAAATATCTAACAGTTGTCCCCACAGCACCAGCAGTGTTCTTCTTTGCAATTTCTTGCATCTTCAAGTTTTGGGCAGGGGGCAAGGCAATAAGTTATGGATCTGGGTATGTGACTGTGAATGTTCCGTATGTTGTTCTGTTTACCAAATTTTAAACGATTTGGTTTTATGCTTTTAACTTTCATGGTTATTCTCTGTTCCTTTATCTCTGTATTTAGTCTGATACTGAGTTCTTCTCCCATTTTCTTTTCAAATGTCTAAGAAATTTGGTCTATGAGTTTTACGGCTTGTGCTTCCTGTCTGCTTCTGAACTTCGATCCTCGTGAATTTGTGATAGATAAGCGATATTAGATTTAAGATTATGGGTTGGGTTGACATATATAGCTCATGTGCATTTACAACACTGAATGGAGTACTAGCAAGATGTACCTAGTGTGAAATTGTCAAATTTCAGAGAATTGAAGGTTCCACTGTAAACTCATATCTGGAATATAAATATTTTCAAATCATTTGGCATTAGCCTTTGGTGACTTTTTTTACTTTTAGGCTATGATAATTATCAAATTTTCTGAGGTTAGCAACCTGCAATGTCTATGGATATTGCACTGAATGGCTAACAATGATGATATTGACTAAGTTCTGAGCCCTCAACCATAATTTGCATATACATGTAGCTGATATTTCCAGTTTTGATGCGATTTGCCATGTCATATACATATTTATGACTAATCATGTTGATTATATGTTTTTTACAGATTTCATAAGAATTTTTCGCTAATTCAGGTACGTATTTCATAAAATTATGAATAGTCAGTTTATTACAAGTTTCGTTTATTTTTTTATGTCAAACAGATATATTTCATGTCAAATCAGGTACGTAGTTCATAGCAAATAATCATATTATTCCAGATTTCGTATAATTTTTTATGTCAAACAGATATTTATAGTGAATTCGGTTATTTACTATTTGTTCATGTTGCATTCGTACTTTTATTTTGTTAAGATTATCTCTCATAACAATCACAAATAAAGTTGTCTTTAGTGGGGGTAAACTTACCATGGGACCGTATACACTTTTCCCTGCACACTTCAATACCATCCAAACACAAGGAAAATGGGAAATGTCTAATCAACAAAAGTTTTCCCTTTTTTTGCATACCAACCAAACATAAGAAAAATTCATACACTGGTTTCCCACTATGTTTTATGTGTGAACCAAACCCAAACAATCTATTCCTTGGAAAATTTTGGAAAACTCAAAACTTTGGTTTCTTTACATGGAATTGTATTTCCCAATATATAGGAAACGAACCAAACAACCCCTTTCTCCTAATAAAAATGCTATTTAAGAAAGTAACTAACGAAATTACCCACGGCGTGATTGCAACTTGACTGGTTCTATTCATGCCCTTTGGGATGTGATTACCAAGCATGATGTTTTTTGGGTTAAATAGATGTGTTTGATGTATAGGAGGGGCAGTTAGATTTGGTGTTATGAAACCATGTTGTTATTCCTTGAGCGTGGGGGTAGTTAGATTTGGTGTTATGAAACCATGCTGCTATTCCTTGAGCGTGGCACTGTTTGTTTTGTGCACGACCTTATGTGATGATCTTTAGGATAGTGTCGATAGACCTGTGTGGACCCCAACTGCAGACGACATTTTTACCTTCTGGTTAGCATGAAAACCTATTTGCAATTAAGGATTGTCAGTAAGGGTGTTAACGGAGCAGATACGGCTCGGATATGGCACTTACCATATTCATATCCGCTTACCCATCTCGGATACGGATACGGATACGGATATACGTCGGTAAGAAAAATTCATATCCATATCCGCCAAAATCGGATACGGTTACGGATATAGATGCGGATATATAAACGGATATGCATGCGGATACAAAAAAGATATGAGAAAACTAGATAGTATTCAGAAAAATATAATCATGTGATACAAAAAGAGTTCGTTAATATGTTCATTATGATTGAAAAGCTAAGATTAGACATCTTGATCATCAAAATTAACCACAAATCCATAATCTAAGAATCGAAACTATCGTAAGAGTATTACCAATATGTATTCGGATTTTTTCGGATACGGATACGGATATTTCACTACAAAACCATATCCGCAACCATATCCTATCGGTAATAGATTTGAGTAATCATATTCGTATCCTAACGGATACAGTTACGGATATTTCCTCGGATACGGATACGGTTTGGCACCCCTAATTGTCAGTCACTTGGGCTAATTGGGTTTGGTTCAAAGGTCATGTATCTCAATTAGCTTTTCGTGCTTGGATGGTGTTTACGCAATATCTTCCAATATAAGAGTTTTTCCGTAGATGCAAACTAAATACTATTTCGCAGTGGTTGTTGTGCATAACTTACAAGTGAGGATGTTACGCATCTCTTTCTAGAGTGTCTATACGTGTGTGGTGTTCGGAGTCGTGCATTCGCACAGTTGATGGTTGGACGTTGATGAAAGCCGAAGACAAAGCGCTCTTTATAGAGTAAACATGAATTACGTATCGCTTCTGGGTGTATTACTTTTGTGAGGCAAGAGATGAATAGGGATTGTTTAACTCTGATCCATCTTGGGATTGTTCGAATGCTTTCCTTTTGCTTTGTTTTATTTTCTTTGAAATGCTTTATTTTTCGTTGTCGTTTTGTTGGCCCTCGACTT